GGGGGGGGGGCATTACATTTGTGTTCAAACAAATGATATGAGTATCTATTGTTGATATGGTACCATTTACAAGACTTCCACCTGATACAATGGATTTGTTTTGTGTGTTTCAGTTTGTCGGAAGAGAAAGAGATTACGAGACTAGTGGAGGGGGGATGTGCATCAGAACAGGTGACCCCCGACACGTCGCGTTCGTGTACACCTTTATCCATCGGTGGGAGCTGTGTGCTCAGCCCCATAAGCAAGGACAGTCGGCCGGCAGACACGCAGTGTAGTTGTAAAGAGACTTATGTGGCATGTAAATGGAAGGACTGCGACTGTGGGCTCGAACCCCCAGCCCTCATGGACCATATCAGACAGTGTCATGTGGACACGCAAAGTGGCGAGACTTATGTGTGTCTGTGGCAGGGGTGTAAAGTGTATGACAAAAGCTCGTGTTCTAGATCATGGCTTGAAAGGCATATACTAAGTCACAGCGGCGACAAGCCGTTTAAGTGTATAGTGGACGGTTGTGTGATGAGATTCACCTCCCAGAAAGGACTGGAACGCCACGTAAATAGTCACTTCGCCGTGCAGCAAAGCAACAGCAACCGCACACAAAAGTCCCGTGAGGACACGCCAACCAAATTGTGGCGCCGTAAAAAGTTAAAACGGCGGCGCCATACGGCAGGTAAGAAGGGTTTGTTCATTTCGAAGCGACTACAGTGTCGTCCATAAGATATTCTATTAAGTTAATCTAAATAGACCTGTTGGAGGCCTGTGCTTCTCTCAATTCATCCACTGTAACAAAATCTCTGTTGGTACTGGAGAATATGTCACAGTTATCCCCCTTTGAAAGGTTTCTTATGTTATTATGATACAATGCAATGATGACCTGTAGATTAGCAATACTTTCATAGACCTGGTAGAAATGACCCTTTGATTTTAGTATGATTAAGTAATACTCTGAATAATTTGATTATTTTGCACAAACTTCAAGTACTGAAATGTTAAACTCTCCACAGAGTTGTTCTTGGTGGAAGATATACATTTGCTGTTTAATCTCTATATAATATACACAATTTAAATCAAGTCGATAAGTTTATCATTTCTTTCATCAATGTGTTGTTATCTCAGAAGGTTAATATCTAATATTAAAAAAATAACATGTCGTGATCAGGAATTCTTACGTAAGTCCAGGTTTAAATATGGCATTAAAACAGACATAAAATCCTTTCTCTTTGATACCTGTCATACTCTCTGGATTAAAGAAAAACTGTATTGAGCATTTCAATCAATACTGAATATGAGAAATCATGTGATGTAAAATCACAGCCGACTCCTTGTCCAGATGTACAGAGTATCAGCATGCATACAGGTCGTAGTGGTGTATTAACTGCTGGTGTCTGTTTTAGGGGTATAGCCCTTGATTTTCATAAAACCCTATTATACCCATCCCAACCCCTATACATTTCTTTTTATTGGTATGAGTGTCCACCTTTCACCAAATTTAAAGGACTTTACCATTACACATCTTGTAATGTTCCAAAACATCAGTCTGAACTACAGTCAGGGTCACCAGGGTATTAACTGTAGCAGTCTGAACTACAGTCAGGGTCACCAGGGTATTCACTGTAGCAGTCTGAACTACAGTCAGGGTCACCAGGGTATTCACTGTAGCAGTCTGAACTACAGTCAGGGTCACCAGGGTATTAACTGTAGCAGTCTGAGCTACAGTCAGGGTCACCAGGGTATTAACTGTAGCTGTCTGAACTACAGTAAGGGTCACCAGGGTATTAACTGTAGCAGTCTGAGCTACAGTCAGGGTCACCAGGGTATTAACTGTAGCTGTCTGAACTACAGTAAGGGTCACCAGGGTATTAACTGTAGCAGTCTGAGCTACAGTCAGGGTCACCAGGGTATTAACTGTAGCTGTCTGAACTAGTCAGGGTCACCAGGGTATTAATTGAGCTGTCTGAACTACAGTCAGGGTCACCAGGGTATTAACTGTAGCAGTCTGAACTACAGTCAGGGTCACCAGGGTATTAACTGTAGCATTGATAAACGGTCACTTCCTTTGATTTGGCTTCATGATTTGCTCCATAATCATAACTCTAGAAATCCAATATTTGTCAAACTTTATATAATTATATGGATGCATACTCTACATATATATATGAAATATAGGTCACTGTGACCTTTATTTTCCGCTTTTGAAAGCAGGAATGGGAGTATTTTTATGCTTTACAAAATTTTCTAGTTGTATACCTACAGCTATTTTTCCCCCAGTATAAATATTCAATGTATCATATATATGTGTATGTTGTTAGAAACTTACCATATACAAAGCATGCTACAATGAATATCATGGTCCAGACCTACTGAGCGAATTATTGCTATGATTTAAAGATCTGTGTAAAGTAATACACAGTATAATTTGACATCACTTTAAACCAATGGTTTACCAGCAAACACTCAACTGTATGTGATTGTTTATATCCCTTAGCCAAATGGCCTTTGTTTGCTGCAATGCATTTAAGCTTCATATATATATATATATATATATATTATTAATCAGAAAAATTATCCTTACGGACAAAGAAATATTATAAAAAGAAAAATTCTCAACAACAAGTCTTCAGTACTTTCATCTCTTCTAGGAGATTATTCAGACTGTTTATTTGAAGTAAGTGACACATAATAGTTTGCTATAGCGACGTCTGTCATATAAGTACCTGCCATAAAGATATCACAGCAGTATAAATACATTAATTATAGTCTTAAGGCATATATATATATATCCTGTTTAAGTTTTCATTTGAAGAGCCTTTCCAAACTAGTTTAAACTATGTGAAGATGTGCACTTTTCTGTATATGTTCATCATACATGTAATGGGCCTCTTAAACCTAGGAAGCTGAACAATGGATCAATGACAAGCTGTGCCCATCAGATTAACTTGTAGGATATATTGGTGGAAAAATGAAAGTTGTTTAAATATAGACATTGTGAGGATATACCTACTAGTATACAGCAGTGAAAATATCTAGAAAACTCCTTTATAACAGTGTGAATACCTGTACCACAGTGTGAATACCTGTATCACAGTGAGATTATCAGAGTAGTCCGAATACCTACATAACAGTAAAAATACCTGCTAAAACAGTGAGATTATCTGTAAAACATGGAAAATACTGTATAATAGTGATAATGCCTGTATTACAATGAGAATACCTGTTTCACAATGAGAATATTTGTATAACAGTAAAGTACCTGTATTACAGAGACAATACCTGTTTCACAGTGAGAATACCTGTTTCACAATGAGAATAATTGTATAACAGTAAAGTACCTGTATTACAGAGAGAATACCTGTTTCACAATGAGACTACCTGTATCACAATGAGAATATTTGTATGACAGTAAAGTACCTGTATTACAGAGAGAATACCTGTTTCACAGTGAGAATACCTGTTTCACAATGAGAATATTTGTATAACAGTAAAGTACCTGTATTACAGAGAGAATACCTGTATCACAGTGAGAATACCTATATCACAGTGAGAATACCGGTATCACAATGAGAATACCTGTATTACAGAGAGAATACCTGTATCACAGAGAGAATACCTGTATCACAGTGAGAATACCTGTATCACAGTGAGAATACCTATATCACAGTGAGAATACCGGTATCACAATGAGAATACCTGTATTACAGTGAGAATACCTGTATCACAGTGAGAATAACTGTTTCACAGTGAGAATACCTGTATCACAATGAGAACAATTGTATAACAGTAAAGTACCTGTATTACAGAGAGAATACCTGTATCACAGTGAGAGTACCCATATCACAGTGAGAATACCTGTATCACAGTGAGAATACCTGTATTACAGAGAGAATACCTGTATCACAGAGAGAATACCTGTATCACAGTGAGAGTACCCATATCACAGTGAGAATACCTGTATCACAGTGGGAATACCTGTATCACAGAGAGAATACCTGTATCACAGTGAGAATAGTTGTATAACAGTAAAGTACCTGTATTACAGAGAGAATACCTGTTTCACAGTGAGAATACCTGTATCACAATGAGAACAATTGTATAACAGTAAAGTACCTGTATTACAGAGAGAATACCTGTTTCACAGTGAGAATGCCTGTATTACAGAGAGAATACCTGTATCACAGTGAGAATACCTGTATCACAGAAAGAATACCTGTATCACAGAGGCAAACAGTGAGAATGCCTGTATATACCTGTATTACAGAGAGAAGACCTGTATCACTGTGAGAATACCTGTATCACAGCGAGAATACCTGTATCACAGTGAGAATACCTGTATTACAGAGAGAAGACCTGTATCACAGTGAGAATACCTGTATCACAGTGAGAAGACCTGTATCTCAGTGAGAATACCTGTATTACAGAGGCAATACCTGTATCACAGAGAGATTACCTGTATTACAGAGAGAATACCTGTATCACAGTGAGAATACCTGTATCACAGTTAGAATACCTGTTTCACAATGAGAATAGTTGTATAACAGTAAAGTACCTGTATTACAGAGAGAATACCTGTTTCACAGTGAGAATACCTGTATCACAGTTAGAATACCTGTATTACAGAGAGAATACCTGTTTTACAGTGAGAATACCTGTATCACAGAGAGAATACCTGTAGCACAGAGGGAATACCTGTATCACAGAGAGAATACCTGTATTACAGTGAGAATACCTGTATCACAGTGAGAATACCTGTATCACAAAGAGAATACCTGTAGCACAGTGAGAATACCTGTATCACAGTGAGAATACCTGTATCACAGTGAGAATACCTGTATTACAGTGAGAATACCTATATCACAGTGAGAATACCTGTTTCACAGTGAGAATACCTGTATGACAATGAGAACAATTGTATAACAGTAAAGTACCTGTATTACAGAGAGAATACCTGTATCACAGTGAGAATACCTGTATTACAGAGAAAATACCTGTATCACAGAGAGAATACCTGTATCAGAGAAAATACCTGTATGACAGAGAGAATACCTGTATCACAGTGAGAATACCTGTATCACAAAGAGAATACCTGTAGCACAGTTAGAATACCTGTATCACAGTGAGAATACCTGTATCACAAAGAGAATACCTGTAGCACAGTTAGAATACCTGTATCACAGTGAGAATACCTGTATTACAGAGAAAATACCTGTATCACAGAGAGAATACCTGTATCAGAGAAAATACCTGTATGACAGTGAGAATACCTGTATCACAGTGAGAATACTTGTATTACAGAGAAAATACCTGTATCACTGAGAATACCTGTATAATATTGAAATATAACAATAAAAAGACTAGAGTATATAAGTCATTTTCATTTAAATATGTGATGGCTTTCAAACAAAAGAGAAACATCTTGAACCTCTTTTGTATGTTAATTTGTTTGAGACACCCAGATTGCTGTATCTTTTAAAACTTGGTATCTGCAGAAATGTATAGGATTACATAATCATGTTTTACCAGAGAAGATCAAACAGGTTGTTTTACTCACTTATATGTGTGTGCCTGTCAGGTAAAGCGAAGTCACAAATATCTAACTAAAGCCACAAATATTGCAAGGTTAACCGCATCATTATTAATTCTGAAATACACCAGGATATAATGAGTAATAAAGGT